TACTGCGGATGACCATATTTCACTACTTTGACCCTTTATATCTTGGGAAATATTGACTTTTGGGACTTGGTGCAATGATAACTTTTTATCAGCATGGCGAAAACTATAACATAGTGAAATTTCAGCCAATTTGACCGAAAACCATTTTCCATAGGTTTTGTGCGGGGTCCTTTCCGCCGATCGCTCACCTGTGTACTGACTCTAAATCCCAAACAATCGCCCTTCCACGCGACTTAAGTATCGCACACGGCGCTTTAATCCCCGAGTAATTTAATTTACGTTTTTCCTGGTGCGTTCGAGCGTTGATGGCCAGTCTAATGAGCGGGCGTAACAGTTCTCGCAGGAAATGGACGATGATTAGGGGGAGTAATGCACAGAGCGCGGAGTTCGCTTTGCGGCCTCGCAGAGATATTCGGTTCTCGTCCCATGGCGTTGCCATGGGAAAGTTCCAGGAGCCTTGGGAGAACTGACGCGCGCGCTTGTCGCGACCGCGCGCCACGGCGTTGCACACTTGTCGCGCACGCGCGCGCGCGCATCACGATCGATCGCGATGCGCGCCATGACGTCAATCGATATATCGAGCGGGCAGCGATGGCGCGCGAATTGGAGCAAGTCGAAACGGCGAGAAACGCTCGTGCGTAAGCGTGGTGCGCTTTTTCTCGCGCAGTTGCGTGCAGGCGAGGGACTCGAGCATATGGTCGATAAACCGGATTAAGCGATCATCCAGATTTACCCAAATGCGCGCGACGTATGGCGCGACATCGAATTGCCGCGACATTGCGGTAAATATTAATAAGGCGGCCGCGCTGCTGCGTTTCGCCGGTAACGACGGAGAGCGTCGACGACACACGTCGCCGCCGTTGGGACGTGGGTGGGACGCGCCGATGCAGGATGCGCTTCCATAATCCGAGGTCTAAGCATCCCGTTGCACGGGAAGCCGAGCGAGGAACGAGAAACGAAGAGAGAGAAAGAAAGAGAGAGAGGGAGGGAGAGAGAGAGAGAGAGAGAGAGCGAGAGAGAGAGAGAAAGAGAGAAAGCCGCCAGTCTGATAAAGCGCATGAGGAGGAGACGAACGGTCGCACTATGCCACGCCGTCCCGGTACCGGTCCAAGACCCGACGGTGCCGGTGATTCGATCCGACTACGATCTCGACGATTTTTACGCGAAAAAGCAGTCTCTCGCTACGGCCGTACGTACGATCGGCAGAATCTCGGTCGGGGGAGCTCGACCACATTAATATTATAATGAGGGGCCCGCGCGTCAAACGAATAGTTCTGTTGAAGAGCTAGACAGCTTGAACGAAATGTAACAGTTAACGGCTCTGAAATATAAATTTGCCGGAGATTAAGGTTGATGCGAGACAAGTATCCTCGGTACGCGGAGAAAAATATCATTCCGCTGCTAAGAAAAGCGATTGCTAAGTTTGCTTCTTTTCTTTCAAGTAATAGTTATCTTCAACAAAGAATATTTCTCTTTTTTTTTTATAATAGTCTTCGAATGTACTCGTCACAGATTTGAGGGAAGTATGTTATCGGGAAAAGATAAAGTTGATTCGATTCTATGCAGCAAGCAAACCGAACTTTTCCTTTTAATTGAATATCTTCGATCGAAATGCCAAACTTACTAGGATTCAGGATGCATTTTGAAGAAATTCGACGCTTAAGATGAATTTACGATTTGCGAATGTGGAAATTAAAGAAATACTTGTAATAAGTAACATTTATTTAAATGCAATATATGCATATGTGTGTTTCTGTGTGCAGAGAGAAATATCATTCTGTTGTTAAAACAAGTGATTACTCAGTGATTACAAGTGATTACTCGGTGATTACAAGTGATTACTCAGTGATTACTTCCCTTCTTTTAAGTAACAGTTATCTTCAATCAAGAATATTTTCTCAATAATAGTCTCTAAATATACTCATCGTAAATTTCAGAAAGGCTCATTATTACGCACTCAAAAAAAGGATCGATTTTCTTCACAAAATTATTACGGAACTTTATAGAAGAAAAAGTTAGTTCAAAGGAATTTTGTGATCTTAATTTAATATTCTTGATTGAAATACCAAATTAGCTAGAATTCAAAATGCATTTTGAATAAATTTGTTGCTTAGAATAAATTCATGATAGATTTGCAAATATAGAAATTTATGAAGTGCTTGAAACGAGCAATGCGTTCACTTGAATGTAGTGTGCATTTTTCTGTATTCTTGGCGTGTCTACCAGACGATGTGTGAACTAGACTAGATTCGAGGCAAGCGGTCTTCGGGTCGCTGCGATGTTTTGCATGTGAGACACGCCGAGCTGGAATTGATCAAGTTTATAATTTGCGAGATCTACTTTAAATGTCCAATTGATATTCAAAGATATGTGCATATTTAAAGATATCTCCGAATTGGATCTCACGAATTATGGACTTGATTCATTTTAACTTCACGAATGTTTCACGTATCCGCGGCATCGGGAAGCACTTACAGCGAGATTAAATAATAGAGCACGCGGCGGCGGCGGCGGTGGCGGAGGCGGAGGCGGCGGTGGCGGTGGCGGCGGCCACGAGAGAAACGCAGCGATAGTCGCGGTGTCGCGGTAACGATCGCTCATTGAGGTTCTTAACGCGCGACGGCAAAAAAGTGTCCGGTGAGTAGCGTGGAAAGGATCTGCAAACAGGCGGGCCGCGGGTCGAAGAGAAACTCCCCGGCCAGCCGTCGCGACGCCCGTAACTAAGGCGACGACTGATGGACACGGAGGACGTCGAGCAAGTATTCCGGAAGTATGACAACGGTAATGGATAACTGGAAATCGCCATCGACACCGTGGAACGTACACAAGCCGCTGCCGGGGAGGTAGTCGAGAAAATCACGGCTTCTGTGACCGAAGTCACGTTCGACATGATCGTGACGGTATTCGAATGATCACAGTAACTGGACACAGAGATCTCGCAGCAGCCGTGACGCTTTAACGCCTGCCACGTGATAATCGCGACCTTTTGGCAACGACCTGATCGCTCGACACGGCATATTCAGAGGACTTTCCCCACTTCAGATCACCTCGTATTTATTTCTTCGTCACGTAATTGTGCGTAAAACGGACTTAGTTTAATATGGACACGGGGGAAAAAAGGTGTTTGCCGTCGCGCATATGCGAGGAGAATTTCGATTGACTTGGCGAAAGTCCGGAAGATCGCAGCGCGGACCGCACGTCCGATTTATTTGCCGTGGCGTTACGGCGAGTAAGTGTCACGTTTGACAGATCAAACGGCCTCGTTCGGCCCGATCTTTGCCCGCCAATGCTTGTAACTTTCCAAATTGCAGTCGCAATTGTTATTTATACACGATTGTTATTTATACACGTGTCAACGAGACATGTGAGCGCCGTAACGCCGCCCACGAGTGTTCCCGACGATGTACAACGTGTCGAAGGGCGTAGGCGCCCGCCGCTGCTTTTCGCGAAACAACGTGCCGTCTGTTTGCAATGTCAGTGTTACACGTTTTTGCCGATCCGCGCGACTGCCCGTCGAGAACAAACAACCGCTTCAGCCCGAATTACAGAGCAGATTTTTTAGTAGTACATGTTACTTTCAACATAGAATATTTTTTTTAATAGTCTTAAAAAATATACTCATCACAAATTTGAAGGAAGAACATTGTCAGAAAAAGAAAAAAGTTGGCACGACTTCGTGCAGCGAGCAAGTTTTCGAACTTTTCTCTTAATTTAATATCCTTGATTAAAATGTCAAATTTATTAGAATTCAGCATGTATTTTGAAGAAATTAGACGCTTAGGATGAATTCACGACAGACTTGCGAATACAGAAATTGGAGAAATATTTGAAATGAGTAACGTTTAAACGAATATACGGTGAAAAATTATCCGACAAAAAAATTATCAAACGGATGTTTCCAATCAAACTTTGATCACTTTTTATATCCGATCGGGATTAATTGAATGCTTCCGACCGCGTAATAGTATTTCATTAGATAAGTCTATCATAAAATTAGGAGCCAATCTTTTCATGGCGGATGTTTTCGATCAGAAATATCAGCGTGATAATTTTTTATCGGATAATTTTTCTCATTGTAGTTGAAACTTACACTTAAGCTTGAACTCTTTTCTACCAATATGTTTGATATGTTTGAACAAAGTTTCAGCTTAATTCTTCGCGGGCAATTTTCGCAAAGGATCCGGGGAAACTTCAAAATAGTGCGAATCTATTTACGAAATCTTTTGATTCTATTGCACCGTCTAAGCTTTTCTACTTCTCTGGGAGAAAGTGCATCTAAAAATATTGACTTTCAACAAAATTATACAGTAGTTCAAAGTTGGTCGGCCGCGACAGACAGATTGTACGGTCGTGGACGTAAAGATAGTTCGTAATTTTCGGAGTGAGTGGACTCTTTCTGTCTCGTCCAACGGGGAAATTGGTTTTCCGATGAGAGAACGCTCCAGTCGAATAAAAAGGATAAAAATCGCGGAAAATATGATTGCACCCAAAGGATTAAGTCGAAGTTTAAAGCGCTGCTGCTAAACGGGCCCTCAATCGTATGCAAAGTGGTCGTTCGTGTTCGCGGCTAATTAATTAGTCACGATTCGCGGAAAGCTGGTTAGTGCGTTTTTTCTCGGAAAAAGCGGTACCTTCGAACGCCCGCGGACCGAAATGGTCCGCGATTTGGAAATCCAGCGAGTCCTCGTAATCACTTCATCCGCGCTCACTTCGAATCAACGTATCCTCGTGACTCATCTCGTGCCCCAGACACAGCGACAAGCACGGATTTCCGATGGCAACGGCATGCTCGCGCGGGGAAACCACCATCGTGATTCACCCAGAGCGACGCGGGTCGACGTGGACCGGCGAATTCTTTCGTCGGCTCCGCCTCGGGACCGAGATCCGCCGAAAGTCAGTTCTTCATGTTGACGGGACCGAGCGGCCGAGGGTCGAGGGATTAACGCGGGCTCCTCGATAATCTGACCTGGCACGCGAAATTGCGCGGATCCGGGCGCGGTCCCCCGGCGAGTCCCGGGGATGTCTGAAATAAGATTCGGCTGTGTCAACACCACCGGCCGGGTCCGGTCAATGAAATGGATGTCGGGGCGACCGATGGTCAGCGGCGTTCGCCGCATTGAATCGTCATCGATCCGCTGATCCGTCGTCGCACTGACTGGAGACGCACGATTCGTTCGTTCAGGAGGACCAGACGATGACACTGAATCCTACAACGTCTCAACGTGATCCGGCTATCGCAGACTTCCGAGGGAGGCGCTCCTCCTCGATCAACCTCCACGTGCATTTACATTACTCCGTGTCACAGCTGATGGCCTTCCGTCGAATTAGTATGCGCGCCCCGACGGACTGACAAATGTCTCCAATCAGTTCTCCAGCCTGGTCCCCCGCGACCAGGCGATCGTGTCCAATTGCGGGATCATTGAGCGAGCTGAGAGGCCAGCGCTGGGAGAAATGAAACGCGCGCGTGAAACGAGAATGAGACGAGAGGAACAGTCGAGCCGAGCGCGGGCGAATAACAGGGACAGGAAATTCGATCGGCGCGATGCGCGACGCTAGAGTGGAATAGCGGATCGAAACCGAACGGTTGAGGTTTATCCGTGACGGACGCCGGGCTGGTACTGAACGGCTTAACCGGTATATACAACCACTGACCGTCATCATCGCAGCCATCACCGGTCTCTCCCTCTCGTTCTTTCTCTCTACTCCTGTTTTTCTCTTCCTCCTCCGTTCGCCTTCTCTCCTTCTTCGCCGTGTGCCATCCTCGTCCTCGTCCACCGCTAACTATTATCGCCACCGTCACTCGACCTTCTTCCAACGCGCTCTCGTCTCTCTCCCGACGGCTGCGTCGTCGCGTACCTCGGCTATTCTCAAGGTTACCGGCGAAAATGCCGTCGAAATGCGGGCGCGCTCGCGAAAATACGGGGTTATCCGATCGATAACGGTGGAGGACTAACGGAGAAGAGCAGAGATAGCGGGACACCGATATCGCGAGATACGCCCGGCACACGCGCCTTCGGGAGGAAGGGTGGCAGGAGTCTCTCTTGCGTTACTTTCAGCTTCCGCTTTTGCTACCGTTATGCCGCCGCACGAAGGGAAAGGAATTGTTTTCGCCATTATATGATAGTTGCAGCTCGATACCATACACGCAGAATGGCATCTCGTGCGACTGCCTGGTCTTTTGCGTGCGGTTATTCCCCGGACATTATAACGTGACGCTACACTACGTCGCTGTCGCACGCTGCACTTTTGCGCTCGCGACGGAGCGAGAGATTCGCGAAATACCGGCCCGCGACTACCAATTCCCGGACACGCAACTAACTCCGGATGTTTTTATCGTTTTGGTCTTTTCTTTAGAAATGCGGATACTTCAACTTTCTACGTAGGATATAGTGTGTTAATTCAGCAGATACTTGTATTTAGTGACCAAAACAATAAGAATATTCAAGATTAGGCACGTGTTCGAGCATTGGTATTTTCACTTTAATCGATCGCCTTCACTTCGAACTTGTTCCACGTGAAATATTTAGATCTAGATTTAAAGATGGATTTGAATCTTTTAGAATATTATATATAATTTGTATACAATTATGTAATTTAAATTTGAATGAATCAATATGTGCGACATTGCAAGCACGATTCTACTGAAAACATCACATTGAACTCCAAATTTAAGTTTGCGCGAGGAGAATATTATAGCGTTTTTTTTTCGTATAAATTTTTTCAGTTTAACTATATTTTTAGTGGTCCAAAAATAGATTGTCAGTAAGATCTACCTCGTAGAATACCTTGTAGAACACTTAATTTTGCTCGAAACTAGCAAGTGTTTTAATAGCGCATTTCAATTTCTAAAAGCTGTAAGTATCGCGTATGAAATGAAAGGATAGTGAATTGCTGCAGAATGTCAATATATTCCTCGGTCTCACAGTAGTCCTACGATAACTTTTACTTGAGGCAGGTGTCAAAAATAATGACTATTAATGACCGGTCATGAAACATCACTGACCAGCGTATACTTCGGCTTCATTGCCATGAGGACGGTTCCGATTCTGATGCCCATTGTATTTTTACTCTGATAACGGGACGTGTCAATTAATTTCGAGCTGCCGCGACACGCGACGTGGAGTAATGCGTGTCCGGAAAAATGTCCAACGGCAGAATGCAACGCGACGGGATTGCACGAGACCGATTTTGGAAATGCGGACGCACGAGGCACCGTTTTCTCCATCTCACCCGAAGATCGTAGAAATCTTAGTCGCGGCGTGGCAAGAAACGAGAATGCGGTACGGCGCGACGGACGGACGGACGGACGGACGAACGGCCGGCCGGCCGGCCGGCGGAGAAAACGGTTTCGAGAGAGACCGTAGGTAAAGTGACGTGGATGAAACTGAGAAACTAAGTAAGCGCGATTACACAAGATCGCCCGTGAGGATTCTAGGATAATTCGTCGTCAATTCGCCGGAATTTCGGCGCTCGAGCCGCACAGTGGGGACAAATAGGAATTTACTGTTCAAAAATCGCTAGAGACGACAATTTTACAGCAATCGGGATGACTTTCTTTTTAATTAAACGTTAATCAATGTAGAACAAAATTGTCGAGCCCAATTATTTTTAAAACTCTTCTAAATATTGCAATATTAATACGAATTAAGTTCGTATTCAGCAACCTAAACCTAATATATCTTACAGTGACACATTTTGTGCTACAGAAACATTTTTTTCATATCGGCTATGGGATTGACAGATATCTGTTAAATACTAGATCTTAATACTGACTTTACATTTATGTTAAACAATTTTGTATACTTTATTGCAACAAATATACTGTGTTAAAACATAATGATTCTGTTTATGTTGACAGGAGATTAGCAGTTGTCAACTGCTAAATTCTGATTTTTATATCAGATTCGTAATCAGAAAACCTTAGTACACTGTACTGTGCAGCGAAAAGATGAAAAGTTTTCCAGTTGGAGTGGCTCACAAAACTTGATAATTTTTTACAAATTCTTATTAATATTGCAACATTTAGAAGAATTAAAAAAAAATCGGGCTCAACAGTTTCTTTCTACATTGATTAACGTTTAATTAAAAACAATTCATCTTGATTACTATAAAATTGTGGTCTCTAGCGATTTTTGAACAGTAAATTCCTATTTGTTTCCACTGTGCGCCGGTAGCGTTATTCACGGAGAGCGAGACCACTCTCGGCTGGCAGAATGCGATTCGCTAGTTGCACCGGGCGTTTTTACCGATTGCAAAGTTGCATTCGCGCATCTTGAAGATCTTTAACGAAACGCTTCGTCGTTTGCGCGCAATTCGCACAAAAGGAAGGATGCGATCCGTCCTTTGTCAAAAAATGTCTGGTGTTTTTGAAGCTACAATCACACGGAGAGAGATAATTGCTACACGTTGGCCTTTAGTTATGCAAGAATAACCTAGCTCACAAAACAGTTATCTTCGAGATTTTGTTACCAACGCGCAGTCCATACGTTTCCCATAAAAGATACGTTTCCCAAAAAAGATTCGAGCCTCATGGGCGACTAAAATTAATGAAGAAATAGTTTTTATTTTCTATCAGTTGTGCCGTTTTTTATTGGTTGCATCTTTCTTACCCATTTTTTTAAGGGCTAAATTTGTCAATAAGTACCGTGAAAGAAAAGAAAATTGATCTTAATATGATTATTATGATCTTAATTCTTTTATCAATTGCGAAGAATCTCTGCTATATGTACTTTATAAATCATCAAATTTTCATATTGGTTTTTCTCGTAACGTATTTTACGTGAGTTGGATCATTCTTGCATAATTGCGGTCGATTATCTCGAAAAAAACTATTTTTTAAATAAAATTCTATTATAACGTAAGTGATAATAATTTTATATACGTGTTACTATTACAATTTTATTAGAAAAATATATGGTTAGAGCTAAAAATAACTATAATATTAATTATATCGAGCATTTTTCTCTCTCTGTGTCGTTAAGAAGAGCGCAACTTCACAAAAACAAGAGTAGTTCTGCACATTGGGAGACAGGTGTCAATTACTATATAAGATGCAAAAGATACAAGGTTGCAAAAGGTTAGGTGTGTAAGAGGATCGTTGATCACGAATTCGTGCCACGTCGGAAAATCTCACGTGAAAAATCGGAGCGTTGACCTACATCGCCGAAAACGAGATATCGCCGAAAACGAGAGGGCGCCGGGGCTGGAGCGTGAACGAAAAGGGGAATCGTGAAAATTTTCAGTAGCTGTTAATCCTCGGGCAACGTTCAGTATCCTCGATTACCGCGTCGATTACCGCGTCGTGGCGTAGATGGCATACCAACGGAAATTCCTTTAACTAGTGCGAGATACGAACTGTCATCCTATCGGAACAATATCGCGGCGTTGCGTCCGCGGACACTAATGTTGCTCATACGTTACTTAACATTGCGTAAAATTGACCGACTGTCATCGTCCCAATTGAAACATCTCGTCGAGCTGTTAAATGACTAAAAAAAATTGCACGGTTTGCGAAGCGTCTCTCCTATCACCGGCCCCCACCGCCGATTGCATCGCGCGGAATATCATTCAAATTGATGCCAGAATCGCTGCAAAATCACCGCTCGGTATCATGCCCTGAATACAACGGTATTATCCGAGTTTCACAATTTTGCTCGTCGAGCGATGTTTGCACGAGCCTCAAGAGATCCATTTTAGATAGAACTACTTAATTGTACACCGCCGGCGAATCTTCATGTTGCGCCTGTTTGGCGTTATTAGTCGTGGCCATGGCGCGCCGTGTAATTAAGTCTCACGGGTGCAAGCGGTCACGAGTTATAAGTGTTTTAATAAGTCGCTGTTGGCGGTCGCGCACAACACCGGAGTCTGGGCACGGCGCGGTCGGCAAGTTCGGGTCACCACGGATGACCACATCGCGGTGGCGAACGTGTTGAGCAAGTTTAACTCCCCTGTTCACCTCGTCACAGCGCGTTTCGTAACGCGGCATAAGAGCGCCTCACAAAAGTCGCGTTTCCGATTAAGGCG